GAACCTGTGGTCCATCATCAAATGTGAGATTTACAAGGAGGGAAAACAGTACACCTCTCTGAACAGTGTCTGGGAGGCTGTGGTTGCAGTTTTCAAAAATACCCATGTAGGTGCAGACGTAGCGTAAAAGAGTTAGTAGTTTATTTTCTTACTACCTGTAGATTACTTGTATTTGCTTATTTGTTTACTAAATGTTTTCGGTGTGAAATAAACCACAATTGAGCAAAATATGGGTGTGTGTGGTTGGAGGATGTGCGTGTGCGTGCGAGGGGGGCGCGAACATTTTTCTGTAAAACAAAGGGGGGCCCAGCGAAAAAAGTTTGGGAACCCCTGGCCTAACCTAACATATGAAACAGGAAAAGGCCGCCGTGTAATCTCTTTATTTCAAAAAAGCATGTGTATTCTGAATACCACCTTTTTAAACTGTAAATGTAACAGAATACAGTTACTCATATATTGTATTTTAAATACATAACGGCGGTACATGTATTCCGTTACTCCTAATGTAAAGAGTCACTTTGACCATGAGCACCACAGCCATTGTGTTCCAGTCCAACACAGTGTTTTATTTTGAATCCATTACTGCTTACCCTGCACTAAACTCCATGCAACCTTTAAATAACAATCTACCTGCAGCACGTCTTACAACATGAAAAAACATAATGTCACATGTACAGACACAAAGTCCAAAACACGAGGACTTACTAATAAGGTTTAAATTTCCAATAATCAAATACCAATCAGAATGTCTCTTCTTCCTCTCCTGTCCTGTCTTTCTTATCTTACTCTATATCAAACTTTTTTCATTAGGCCCTCCTTTCTTTTACAAGAAAAATTTTTGTTTTTTTTTAAAACGCAGCTTTGCGTTTGGGACTTTCGTCCACACATAAACGGCGTTTCGAATCACCGAAAACTGAGATTTTTTTAAAACTCCTTTTTTGCGTTTACGTGTGAACGAGGAATACAGAGTTCGTCACACAACCTCAAAAGTGTGTGCGTTTTTTCACGTCATGCTGTGCGCACGTTATTGTTTACATGAGATGAATTGCAGAATGGCAGATAGAGACAAAATATTGTTACTGTTAATCTGACTATCTTCAGGTTTTACACGCTTACATATACACACGCAGTTACTGTCCCCCCATTTAGAAAGGCAGAGACATCATGGTGTAATTATTTTATGTGTAGTTGTTTTTTTTCCTGTGTAATAATATTCAACATTGCTATCAATACATTTTTCAACATATGCCTCTCTGTGCAACATGGGCTTAAAAACGTCAACAACTGTAGGATACTGTTTAGACAGACGGGACAAATTGTGGCAGGATCAGCCTGATATTATTTGTATCCCACTGTAACTTTACTGTATAAAGACTTAACATCTCCAAAATGTCAGGAGTAGTTAGTTATTACAACAAGTGTTTGTGAACTAAAAACCAAGAATGTGGGATACTGTTTGTCTGTGATTTGAACAGCCCAACGTGTGCTCCCGACGCAGGGAAAACCAATTAAGCAGGGGAGACCTACCTTGGCACTTGTGCAGGTGAAGCCAAAGGGAAGGTATGCTTCACAATATTTTCTAGTCTTTGGCTTAGAATGAAGTTGGTTTGGAAACATATTCAGCTATGCTTCATCTCCTGCTTTGCGTTTGTGTGGGCGCCCCGTGCTAGCAGTGTCCAAGCATTTGTTTGTTTGTTTTTTTTTCCTTTTTCATAGCGCCGCCTCCCCCCCCCCTGCAATGGCTCGGGCGGGCTTTGGAAAGCTCTGCCCTACAGTATCTCTGAGTGAAGTTATTTCTTTTTCTTTTTGCTCCCTGTGAAATAGTGATGGTAAATTTGATTCTTTTTACTGAATCGAGTTTTAATGAATCACTCACCAAAGTGAATCTGTTTTTTTGAGTCACTGAGTCAGTCGACCAG